TATTCATTATTGCTTCTTCCTTTGTTCAACAAAAAATGGAGAGTTGTGTTAGAATACAAATAATAATTTTTTAGAAAATCTTTTCCGTAATATCCTATAGTCATGTCTTATTGTAATTGACTTACGAACATGTTGTTAATAATTCCCATCCATTACCTGTGTGTACAATTCTTTTTTTTTTCCTTTCTGATTTTCAATCTCTATTGAGAAGTCTTTGAAATAATACAAATCTTCATAGAAGTCGGCTCACAGAAGCACACACCCATATTGTGTATAATGATCGATCAAAATGAGAATATTTTTTTCGAAAGAAAAAGAATATTTTCGCCTACAAATATTCTAATGGTTCAGTAGTTTCACAGCTTTACCGATGAACTTACTTTACGCTTTTTCAGTCATGGAAGACTCACAAGCAGGTTAACCTTAGCAACTGAAATTATTAGGGTTTCTCTAGCTAATCTATTCATTATGTCTTATTCTAAATAACCCAAATAAGCATACTAACTAATTGAGTATAAAAATTTGCATCCAAATGAAATTTTCTTCAAAAAATGTTGAAGTAAAAGTGAATATTAAAAAAACTCTAAAGGCAAAAGTTTGATCGTTCCCTAAGTTCACAGAGTAAATCATATAGAATTATGTTCGCCGGGCAGTTTGAGCTAATATATGCCAATTCCAAGTACTTCTCACTAGTATATTTTACACACAAACTCTGGATGTCCTGGCAAAGAGGTGGCAATAGAAACAAAATGAAGGCTTATTAATACATCCCACAATAAGAATATAACCATAAAAATGAAAAACATAACTATTGAGTTAATATTCATACCGATTTAGACACAAAGTCAAGGATCAAATCATGCATCTCTTATTGCTTGAATAATTTTGGAACTTGAGAGAGAAAAGTTATTCAAAGGAAATAAAACAAATAATAAAAATTGGCAATAAAGGTAGAAATAAACTCAAAAACAAGAATGGCTTCCCATTAACAGGATCTTATGAACAAATCTCATTAAATCATAAGTATCCAACAAAATAAAGCTGGTACCCAATTACTTATGCACTTAACAGATCAACAATAATAGAAAAAAGAATAACCATTCAAGGTAAGAAGCAATTTAATACCTCTGTGATAATATCCCCAGCAGATTGTATTAAAGAACTAATGAAGAAAGAAAAAAAAAAAAAGACTCCATTCAATCACATAGTAAAACAACAGCATAAGTTGTAGCCGAAATCATAAGTAAAATGCTCAAAGGATAACCATGCAAACAAAAAATTCATGAGTTAAAACTAACAAGAAAACTTAACCTGTTTATGATTTTCTAAAATGTTAAAACCCTTTTCTAGTCATGAAGTTCTTTACGCCAAACTGCATTTGATATGTCTATCGAATAAGCTCGTGCTGCATTTTATTATTCCTTTGATCAAGAGAGCAATCAAGAATGATCAATCATAATTTAGGACGGGTTAAACAGAAGAAACAATTATCCTCTTACCATGCAAATCAAACCAAACAGAAGCATACATTGACACCATTAACCATTCCTTTTCAATCACATATTTACAAGGAGAATTTGCTAGATATCTAACTTCTGTTCTCAACAAGGGTAGGTCAAATTCCAAGCTCTTATATTACCTTCACCATTCAATATATGAGTTGATACATCAGCTAATATATTTCTACTTTAAACAATCAGATTATCAGCCATATATAAATTGAACTAAACATATATAATCATCGTCAATAGCTACACTAACATAAATTATAAAAGCGTAAACACAACTTGAAACTAACCATTTAGATAAAAAATTTGAGAACTTCATTCTAAATATTCAATCAGCTCTAGATCAAAATTAGTTTTTACTGTTACAAAATCTAATGAAATGCTCACAGAAAAATTAGCAAATGACATAAAAGCTCAGGAGAGAAGACCAGCCTGATGGTGTTCTTTCCTACTCTATTGCTTCTCCTTCCTCATCCCTAGCCTGCAATCCCACAATCTAGACGCTCAAAAAATCCCTAAGCTTTTATCTCTCAATCCCTTTGTCCCAGTGTACCCTTTCTTTCTCCATTCCTTTGCTTTGGTTGGTTGGTAATCCTTCGCTGAGTTTCCTTGAAGAACGCAGGCTCTCTCCCTAAAACCCAAACGAAATCCAGCAAACCCGAATACCTCTAGTATTCTTCCCAAACAATAACCCGGAACCAGAAAAACTTCCTACAATTCCCCAAAAATTCCTCTGAAAGACTTCGTGTGTTGATTCTATTCTTCCCGTTCGTCAATTTCCTAAAAATATTCAATTCCAGAACGAGCATTTCATATCAGTTTACAGAACCACGCCGTAAAGGCTATAGTTAAGCTGGAGAGCGCAAATAAAACACTATCAGCAGCAATTGTACAGATTCACTAATACACTATATGGACA